ATACACATATATTATATATGTAAATATATTATGTGTATATATATTGTATGTATATATATATGTATATACATATATATACACATGTATGATACATATACATATTGTATTATATATGTATATACATGTGTATGTCCATATATATGTATACATACTATGCGTATATACCTGTATACATACATATACATATATTGTATATATACACATATATATGTATACCTTTGTTTATATATGTATGTATGTATATGAGTATCTCAAAATTGCTGTAGTGAGTATTTTCAGTTATTTTGATCTCATTCATTGTAGGAACTTGCACTGTCCATTGCAATTTTGTTTGGCCAATTTTGTTTACAAAAAACAATTTCATAATAACTCAGCAAGACAAACTTGACTAGGTATGACTATATCTTTGTCAAAAGTACATGCATTTCTGACAAACATATAGTTGAAACCAGTCAGATAATCTCTCTTACTGTGGAGATATTCATTCTCTTTCATATCTTTTTCTACATAAATCAAGGAAGCAAGTAAAGCCTGACCTTACTTGTTTACCCCATTCCTTGAATTTTTGGGAGTTATGATTCCTTATGTTATCCTCATTATTAAGTACTTATCATTGCCATCATTATAACAGTGTTATTAGTGATTCTGAAACCTGTATTTCATAAAATTTGCTTTGTTCCTCCATTCTGGCATTGCAAAAAACAGTAGGTCTGTCATTTTTCTTTATAATTATTTCTATTCCTTTCTTTGCCATTTTCCTTCTACGCATGAGTGATCAACTTTGTTATAAGATTTATCAAGGAACTGCAAATCTGGTGCCTCCACGAACACTCATGGCAGTTTCCCAAAATAGTTTTCTTTTATGAAGGCTCTGTCAAAGGAGAGTTCTGCTTTGGGTTTCACTTGTTTAAAAATATAAATATGGTTACAGTTGGGGTAAGGTAGAATACAGAGTAACTCCAAAATCATATACATAATGATAGCATAAGCAATTTTATGAAGATGCAACACCTGATGTAGCTTTCAATTCTGCTGCTAAATTTGCATTCTAACATTTATGTACAATATGTTGACATTATTTGCTGTTAATGTTCTTTTAAAAAAAACATTCTGGTAACGCTTTCCTACAGGTTCTTCTGGGGATTTTGTGAATTGGGTGACAATGCATTGTAACTTAATAAATATACATACATTTTTTTTTTCTTTGCAACACATCTGTAGAGTCAAACATCACATGCTTAAAGGAATTTTCTCAGATATAATTACTTTGCATATATGGCCTTGGACTAACTATATGAAAAAAGGTGGTGTTAAAATAAGAAACAGTATTTAGTGATTTAATTAATCATCTGATGTCAATTATTTAACAATTTGCTTTAATTTACAATCAACCCTTTGCAAAGGCATTCCTGCCATAATAATGACATCAAATAGGAATAATTTTCATCCAAAAACAAAAGAAAAAAAAAATCAAAAAGAAAAAAAAAACAAGAAAGTACAAGAATGTACTCTTCTTTTTTTTTTTTACTTTGCTAACTTATTGTTGACATTTAGATATATTTACAAAACTATGATAAGCTATACCAAGTGAATATGATTTTCTTTCCTTTAATTTACAAAGTCTCCCCGTGGATCACGATATGCAGAGCTGGTCATCCCTTGCAGCTTCCATGCAACGTTTCCCTTGATGACCACTTCAATGAAGGCATGATGAATATCCAGTACCTGAGAGCTAGACAAGAAATTATATAAACAAATCAAACAATCACATTCTACAAGTCACACTCAGAAGGCATGTTTTCACCGTTTGTGATTTCTATAAACCGCAACTCGCTGTATTAGACTAAACAGCAGTGAGCGCACACTGATCGTAAAAATCATACTTGCCGCCATTCTCATACACTATGCACATCACAATTAGGCAATAAGAAATAATTTGTACAGCTCATATCCACATGTTTCTTATGTGTTAGTGAATTACAGTATGAAACTGAAAAGATACAATTAGTCACACTGAACACAACTCACACATTGACTAGCAAACACAAGTCATGCAGACAATTGCTAAATAATTGTGTATCCAGTTCAGTCAGTCACAACAAAATACCGTAAGTTTTGCAGTGCTTGCAAGCAGGTCGTACTGTGGTCAGATCCTAAATGCGCAGTACGTGGAAGTACTTGTGACAGTATCAGAACTCAATAAACTGCAACACGTCATCCATTCACTGAGTTTTATGACTATAAATAATTCAATCACAGAGTTATCATGAAGGGTTTTCTTCCCACATGTCCTGTTCATGACAGTTTCACCATGAGAGGCCTACACAAACTAGCTCCACTTTGTAGCTGACAAGTGACCAAACCAACCATTGGAATGTACTGAAAACTTGTCACTGGAGCTCTGGGGAAACAAAAGGGTAGAAATCACATTATATTGATTCTTACATTTTCTGAGTCTTGGGTATCACAAAGTAGCTTAACTTTGGATCAAAATAATGTGTGCACCAGAATAGTTCAGGCAAGATTGGTCTTGGGCTCGAAAGGAAAAAAACACAAAAGTGCGTGATGCTAGCAGGGCATTCCCGCTGACGTATTATGTGAACTAGGTGACTCTTTTTTGACTGAGGAACTAGAATGATTCACATGGTTGCAGACTTCGTCTTCCACCTCGTCCAACTCGCCGTCAATCTTGCTGCTGTCTGCACTCTGGCATGTGGTGGTTTTGGTGGCCTGGACTAGCTCTGGCATTAAGGAAACAGGCTGCTGTTCCCCTAATGACAGCAGCGCAAGGCCACCCTCCGCTACCTCCTGATCCGAGGCCCCGTACTGGAGGGACTTCACTGTTGTGCTACTGACAGCCGTGCTGCTGCTACTGCTACTGCTGGAACTGCTGCTGCCGACTTTGCTCACAGGGATGCCCGAACTGTGACCACCATGCTTACTGGTGTCACTCTGTGGTTTGCCCATGAACAAGTTGGCTCTTGAGGTTTTTCTTATCCGTGTGCGCACGGGTTCAGCATGGCCCATCTGACTGTTGCTGCACGGATGTTTGCATCATATTCCCTTGAATTTTGCATTGCAGCCGGTGTGCCTCTTGACCTCTCATATCCTGGCTCATTGAAGTACGGCTCACTCACGAAGATGAGTGACTGGATGGAGACCAACACCTGGCAATGACAATAGCAATATTAGTGCCTTGAGGGGTCCTTTAATAGTGAAAGCAACTCTCTTGCCACACATCCATTAAACCACCATTCACACTTATGCAAACTGTAAGATGTTAATAATAATATAAAAAAAAAATACAAACTACCTTTATAAGTCAAAAACTATGTACAATGATGAAAACATTGGTACAAATATACCATCATCAATATTACAGGCTGACCTGAACAAAACCAAAGCATTTCTTCCCATATTCTTAGTGCAACCGTGTTCCTACTGAAGCACAGTTGATCACAACAAAGCGTAACAAAAACTAGCCAACACTTCTAAAACCCTAACGTCCACTAAGAAAGAAAGAAAGAAAGAAAGAAAGAAAAGCTGTACAGAACTTCCCAAGCCAGCCAACACAATCTGGACGACATCCGTGCAAGAGCCCCCCCCCCCCCCTCCTCACCTGCAAGAGAGATGAGGTCTGGGGGTTCCACTTCTCCTCTGGGCGGCCGTGCCAGGTATTGAGGATGCTCAGGCACACCTTCCCATCCTGATACAGGTTGGGGTTAAATCGCACCTGTTGGCAGAGGGGAAGATTAATCACTGCATGTATGGGGAACCTTTTGATACGGTGTTACTGGGGGTATTAGTTTGATAAAGTGAATATTTTGATCAAAAATAATAATAATTAAAAGCTAAACTATATGAAAAAATATACAAGTTGAGGAACCAAGTGCAATGGAGAAACGTCTAGGTAAATTCTTGATAGGTAATGCTAAACTCAGCAAATCTTCATCTGCATTGGAAAACACTCTGGTCATGAAATAAAAGAGGAAATATATATATAAAAACTCTCAATCACACGAGGCCAGTCGACTTACACGTCCTTCTCCTGTGGTCTGGAGATTGATGTGCAGTGGTGACGTTGGGTAATCAACTGGGAAATAAACGTCAAACTCGAAACAGCCATTGGCATAGGGAGTGTCCTCTGGCCCAGTAATGAGTACCTGCAGGTTAGAGTGAGATAGATACAATCTTATCACATTCCCTTTACAAATATGACATTCATGTGATCAGAAAATTAAATGTAATCAATGAAAAGATACAATTAGTCACACTGAACACAACTCACACATTGACTAGCAAACACAAGTCATGCAGACAATTGCTAAATAATTGTGTATCCAGTTCAGTCAGTCACAACAAAATACCGTAAGTTTTGCAGTGCTTGCAAGCAGGTCGTACTGTGGTCAGATCCTAAATGCGCAGTACGTGGAAGTACTTGTGACAGTATCAGAACTCAATAAACTGCAACACGTCATCCATTCACTGAGTTTTATGACTATAAATAATTCAATCACAGAGTTATCATGAAGGGTTTTCTTCCCACATGTCCTGTTCATGACAGTTTCACCATGAGAGGCCTACACAAACTAGCTCCACTTTGTAGCTGACAAGTGACCAAACCAACCATTGGAATGTACTGAAAACTTGTCACTGGAGCTCTGGGGAAACAAAAGGGTAGAAATCACATTATATTGATTCTTACATTTTCTGAGTCTTGGGTATCACAAAGTAGCTTAACTTTGGATCAAAATAATGTGTGCACCAGAATAGTTCAGGCAAGATTGGTCTTGGGCTCGAAAGGAAAAAAACACAAAAGTGCGTGATGCTAGCAGGGCATTCCCGCTGACGTATTATGTGAACTAGGTGACTCTTTTTTGACTGAGGAACTAGAATGATTCACATGGTTGCAGACTTCGTCTTCCACCTCGTCCAACTCGCCGTCAATCTTGCTGCTGTCTGCACTCTGGCATGTGGTGGTTTTGGTGGCCTGGACTAGCTCTGGCATTAAGGAAACAGGCTGCTGTTCCCCTAATGACAGCAGCGCAAGGCCACCCTCCGCTACCTCCTGATCCGAGGCCCCGTACTGGAGGGACTTCACTGTTGTGCTACTGACAGCCGTGCTGCTGCTACTGCTGGAACTGCTGCTGCCGACTTTGCTCACAGGGATGCCCGAACTGTGACCACCATGCTTACTGGTGTCACTCTGTGGTTTGCCCATGAACAAGTTGGCTCTTGAGGTTTTTCTTATCCGTGTGCGCACGGGTCCACCAGCCTGCCCTCCTGCTGCCCCTCTCATCTCCTTCTCCGATTCTCCTTGTGCGCCTTCTCTCTCCTTCTCTGGCGTATTGGCATCTCTCGGCTGCTGTGCTGGGGACCTGCTGCAGGAATTGATGAGACTGGGAGTCAGTGGGACGCCCTCAAGTCCTGGTGGAGGACTCATCTTCCGAAACTCCTCCTTCAGCAGCTGGAAATTTTTCTGAAACGAGATGCAACAGAGCATTACACTGAGGGACCCACTCTAGGAATTCATGAACATATGTAGCTATAGTAACCTTGAACTCTGTCTACATTTACTTCATAAAAATCAAGAGAGAAAAATTCAATCTGTATAGCTGAAACAACCTTAATATTAAGGGGATCAAATCACAGAAACTCATTATCAGATACAAAAATGTTTACCTTCAAGCCCACAGTATTGTGTGCTATATTTTTTCCTGCTCTTCGGTTTTCGCTCAGAGTTTCCATGTCGGCAATCCAAGCCTCAATTTGTTCCAGGATTTCTTTGTGCTTGAGCCAGAAGTGACGTTCAATTACCTGCAATGAAATAACCCAAATGACTTTGAAATACCAATGAAAACCAATATTGAAAAGAGACTGACTGTAGATTACCTATCCCACAGGATTATAGTACCCTCTATGTCATATCATTTGGTAGTCCATTTCTCTTTTAACAGGAGGAACATGAGGGAAGGGGGATGTACCTCCTTGAAGCAGGGTGATGGGTTGCGCAGCTGGTTCAGCATGGCCCATCTGACTGTTGCTGCACGGATGTTTGCATCATATTCCCTTGAATTTTGCATTGCAGCCGGTGTGCCTCTTGACCTCTCATATCCTGGCTCATTGAAGTACGGCTCACTCACGAAGATGAGTGACTGGATGGAGACCAACACCTGGCAATGACAATAGCAATATTAGTGCCTTGAGGGGTCCTTTAATAGTGAAAGCAACTCTCTTGCCACACATCCATTAAACCACCATTCACACTTATGCAAACTGTAAGATGTTAATAATAATATAAAAAAAAAATACAAACTACCTTTATAAGTCAAAAACTATGTACAATGATGAAAACATTGGTACAAATATACCATCATCAATATTACAGGCTGACCTGAACAAAACCAAAGCATTTCTTCCCATATTCTTAGTGCAACCGTGTTCCTACTGAAGCACAGTTGATCACAACAAAGCGTAACAAAAACTAGCCAACACTTCTAAAACCCTAACGTCCACTAAGAAAGAAAGAAAGAAGAAGAAAAAAAAAAAAAAAAAAAGCTGTACAGAACTTCCAAAGCCAGCCAACACAATCTGGACGACATCCGTGCAAGAGCCCCCCCCCCCCCCCCTCCTCACCTGCAAGAGAGATGAGGTCTGGGGGTTCCACTTCTCCTCTGGGCGGCCGTGCCAGGTATTGAGGATGCTCAGGCACACCTTCCCATCCTGATACAGGTTGGGGTTAAATCGCACCTGTTGGCAGAGGGGAAGATTAATCACTGCATGTATGGGGAACCTTTTGATACGGTGTTACTGGGGGTATTAGTTTGATAAAGTGAATACTTTGATCAAAAATAATAATAATTAAAAGCTAAACTATATGAAAAAATATACAAGTTGAGGAACCAAGTGCAATGGAGAAACGTCTAGGTAAATTCTTGATAGGTAATGCTAAACTCAGCAAATCTTCATCTGCATTGGAAAACACTCTGGTCATGAAATAAAAGAGGAAATATATATATAAAAACTCTCAATCACACGAGGCCAGTCGACTTACACGTCCTTCTCCTGTGGTCTGGAGATTGATGTGCAGTGGTGACGTTGGGTAATCAACTGGGAAATAAACGTCAAACTCGAAACAGCCATTGGCATAGGGAGTGTCCTCTGGCCCAGTAATGAGTACCTGCAGGTTAGAGTGAGATAGATACAATCTTATCACATTCCCTTTACAAATATGACATTCATGTGATCAGAAAATTAAATGTAATCAATGAAAAGATAATAAAGTAGCCTTAATCCAGGTAACGTGAGTTTACTATAAATTTTCAACCAATGTGTTATGTGGACTTTAATTACTAAGCAGCTGTGTGTACTAGACCTCAGTACAAGAACATCAAAAATTTCAATCAAAACTCTCTTGGACGGAAACCCAAAACAAAAGATATGGGCATACCTTCATAATATCTAATCTGTCCAGGTCTGTCCTGACAAAGACTGATGATGAATATGACAAAGGCAGCGATGTTGATAGCGTGACAGCTTCCTGTGCAAGTCTCTTCATTCTGCGAGAAGTGCACAGGTCACCTGCACCTCTCACGGACCCCTCATAGTGGTGGGGCACAACAAACCTTATTCCTCTCTCCGAGTCTTCAACCAACATCTCATAGGTGTCTGTAAAGGTTTTGCGATTGCAGGAGTGATTTCCAGATTTGTTAGATATAGATGCAAAAAACTACTAAACTCATTTTGGTCTACATGATCTCTGCAACAAACGAGCCACTTGTTTCACTGAATTATGACAATGTACTAATAAGAGCATCAAAGCTACTCTTTTCACCACTTCTTGAAGCCACTTACCAAACTGCAAAGGTTTGAGGCCGGCCAAATACACTTCCATCAATGACTGTGACGACACTGGCTGTGCTGCTGCCCCACCGTCTGGCTGATCTTCTCTGTCTAACTCTTGCTGTAGGCGATCAGTGCAGACCTGCAGGAAAAAGTGGGTTGCTCAGTCTACAAAAAGCATAAAAACAGAGAGCACAGTAGATGGCTAAAGCAACATGGCCTAGACTTAAACCCTAGAGTACAAATTAGGCTCACCTTGACCACCATGGCCGTGTTCTGAATATCTGGCACGATGAGCGACAAGCCCTCTTCCTGCTCAGCGTCATCTGTCAGACTGCTGGAGTTGTTGTTGTTCCCACCGTTGTTGTTGCCGTTGCCCCCATTTCCGTTGCTGTTGCCGCCAGCCTTGGAGGACTTCCACCGCAGCTTGTCCATGTAGGTGTTGACGGTGGTCTTCATCTTCTCCAACAACGCTGGCACGCACGGCAGGGTGGTGGTGTCTCCGCTTCCTCCGTTAGTTGGAGCCGAATTCTGGGGTGTCAGCAGCAGGGGAGCCAGGCCAGGGGTGACAGAGAGGCCTCTCACAAGAGCTAGTAAAGCTCGATAGAGAGGGACGTGCCGTGACATGTCCAGTACTTTGAGGGGAAAGAGAAAACAAAAAATGAATAATATGTAAGACAAACAACAACGATGCATTACAGACAGAGCCATTCACTACTCGAAGGCAAAAGACGTTATCTTCACTCTACCTCCAGATGAACTTACCCGAGTCATTGCTGAGGTTGGAGGCTATGGTGGTGATCAAGCCTGAATTCTGGAAGAGGTGTAGGAGGGCAGGTGGCAAGGGTGGAGGGGCATGAGATGGGGGCGATAGAGGGGGTAGGAGAGGGGTGCTGTCATTCTGACTTTCAGCTGCACTGCCACCCGGTGTCCCACCATTGGACTGTTGCTGCAGCTCAGGAGGCAAGATGTCACCTGATCGGGAAAATAAACTTGTAATGAGAAGCTGATTCATGGGACCTGTCAGATCTCTCTGGTGCCTTTATATTTTCAATACAAAAAGAAATGTGGATACAAGTAATTGAAATGAGCGAGCACTTCTTCATTTCCTCTGGATTCTAAAAGCCTCAACTCATAACCAAGATGGCATATGGTAATTTTATTAAATATTCCCTACCCCGAGTTAAATACCTCCTAAAACACAAATGAAAAAACACACCTGGATTGATGTACTGTGCTAGCAGTCGCACAAGCCAAACAACATGTTCTTCCTCCACTTTCTGTCTCACTAGAGCCTGTTCCACGTCCCAGCTCTGTGTGGTGCTGCCTGTGCCAAAGCCTGTGCCCTTGGCCCAGTAATGGCATCGGTCTCCCTCTCCGCGGTGCATGCCAATGGTCTCGCGGGAGTCAACGCACGTGGCTCTTGTTGTCGCCACCACCAAACCAATTGGAACATTCTGCAAAAGTGTTAATGAGTTAAGAAAAGGGAGACAGAAGTGTAAAAACTTTTGTTAGATAAAAAAAAAAAAAAGGAGAAATAAAGAATCTATATTGTGCATGGTGTAACTGAGTATGGGCTGCACATCAAATGTTATACACAGTAATTACAGAATCTACACCCATCTCTTTACCAAGTGAATATCTATAAAATAACATATCTTGGAGACTACTAGTAACACACACTATCAGAAAACAAATCATATTCCTTGTAATATCTTGAAACTTTAAGTTACCACAACCTCCACAATCATCATCCCACAGTACCTGGTGGTAGAGGGAAGAGACAACTTCGGGAGTGTCCTGGTGAGACAGCGCAGCAAGGCAAGCCAGGATCAGGTGCAGAGCTCCCGACTCCAGGCACATACGTCTCAGCAGGAGCCCATCGTCTGTTGTGAGTGGTGTGGCCTCGAGCAACGACTCCAGCACCTGGAAGGGCATTGTTGCCAGGGATCCACCCACTCCCGAACCTACAATGTCTCCTGAGAGGGTAGGGTAGAAATAGCCATGGTAAATACTTCAAGATCTTTCCTGTTTTTCTGGTATTGCTTTCATTGAACAAAACAATGCAAGTGTATGGACGCCATAAAAATCAAATAATCTAAAGATATAACCATAAAACCCACCTCCATCGCCATCATCTGTGACCCCCAAGGCGAGTCTGAGCAGGCAGCAAGCCTTGTGGGTGTCCTTGAGGAGCGTCTCTGCATAGCCAGGGAGCCGCAGGAAGAGGGTGAAGGCCCCGAGCGCATGGGGTGGGATGGAGGGCAGTGTCAACAAGCTGACTGTGCCCCCTCCCATGGGTCCTGGGGAGCCCCCACTTCCTCCTCCCATCACCAGGTAATCAAACACATTTGCAGACTGTGGAAGTATTGCATAAATAAAAATATATTGAAATTAACGCCTGTGGATGTCATGCTTAGTGGCTTGGTGTTTTTCCATATATTCAGAGGATAAGTACATCTGGCAAAACTAAGCCTTTTCAGTACTTGTTGGCTATCTTTACGGTACACTCGCTCGAATGTGATGGGACGCTGCAGCAACTCTTAAGAATTGCATTTACTCATATACTCTCTTCCTTCAAATGAACATATCCAGAAGAGCAGCATTAGATAAATAAGCTAATCATTCCTTCATCCTAATTTGATCCTACCTGAGCAACTTGCAAAGATCTTCTCTACATTTTCCCACAATGAAAGAAAATAACAAACCCTCTTCCTCCAAGCTTAGTATCGTAATCCCACTAATGCAAGTTAACACTCGCAGTACCATAGACACAACACCTTCCCTCTTCCCTCCCCTAAGAGCATTCCCAGAGCCCTATTTGGATGAGGTGGTCCCGCGGAAAGTGACGCATCAGGGGGGAGAGGGGGGACGGGGAAATCCATAGACAACTCATCAGCGCAACAAAACAAAAAGTACTGAAAGAATTAGCCGTGCGAGGGCGAATAGAAGCTACTAGTTCACCTCATAGTCATTCATCTCCACACTGACCCAGTCGTTCTCCACTACAATCTCGCCCTTGTCGCCGTTGCCACTTCGCACTGATGCAGTGTTGTTGGGCTGCTGCAAATAGTGCAGGGGAAGAAAATGAATAGTTTGGGGTTAGAACTTTGAAACTCTGCTGTGTGAATTTCAAATAAAAGAAATAAGAGAGGGGAGAGCAGGAGAACTGACAGGGAAGGGGAGGCGGGAGGCTGGAGGTGAGAGGTGAGGGAAGGGGTGAGAGAAGAGAGAATTGGAGAGAGAGAAGCAAAGAGAAGAAGCAGAGGTGGAGGAGGAGGAGGAGGAAGAGAAAGGGGAGGAGGAGAAGAGGATGGGGGCAAAGAATAGAAAGAGGAAAGGAAGGGGAAGAAGAGGAGAATGAGAGGATAGGGGAGAAGAGAATGATGAAAGGATGAGAGGAAGGGGGGGGAAGAGGAAGAGGAGGAGAGGAAGTGGGTCAAGAGGAAGAAGAGGAAGAAGAGGAAGAAGAGGAACGGGGAGATGAGGAGGAGGAGGAGTGGGGGAGAAGGAAGAGAGGAACGGAGAGGAGGAGGAGGAGGAGGAGGAGGAGGAGGAGGAGGAGGAGCAGCATGAGATGAGGGAGGAGAAGGAAGAGAGGATGGGACAGGAAGAGAGGAAGGGGCAGGAAGGAAGAGGAGAGAGGAGAGGAGAGGAGAGGAGAGGAAAGTAGGAAGAGGAGGAGGAGATGGGGGAGGAGGAGGAGGAAGAGGAGGAGGAAGAGAGGAAGGGAGAGGAAATGAAGAGGAGGAGGAGGAGGAGGAGGAGGAAGGAGGAGGAAAGGAAGAGACAAAGAAAATGAGGAGAGGGAAAGAGAGAGGAGGAGGAAAAAGAAAAGGAATATATTTCAGCTAAACAGATTTTAAATTATCCTCCAAATATTAGGTAACATTGCCTTACTCATCAAAGTCCTATCAACATAAGACTATTTAAATACAGATAATCTCTAAAATAATTCATTACCATAACAGAGTCTGCCTCAGCTTTTTCAGAACTATATAACTATATATAATACACATATAACTTAATAATTTTTTTTCATAATTAATAGTAATGATGGTGATGACTGATGTTGATTATGAAAATATTTTTCAGTTGAAACATAATTTCTCTTGCAAGGATCAGAACTGAAGGTAATCATTGGTTCAAAATTACTGAGATATATTTGACAACCCACGAAAATGGGAATAACATGAAAAGTCATCCTTATTTTCCTCTTCACTCTTCTCCCACAATTCTTACATTTCTAAAAGAAGAAATCAAAGCCCAGTAACAACAATGAGACCTTGCAATACCATCAATATCAAACCAATTGCAAAACAGACAAACAGACTGACTGACCTGCTGTCCTGTGTCTGGGTAGAGAAGCGACATGTGCTGGGCCAGGAGCGAGAGGCCACCCTGACTCGTGAACACATGCAGGGTCGAAGGCAGTGGTTCGGTACAGAGCAGAAGGGCCTCTCGTCCGCTTTCACCTTCTGGCGGAAAGACTTGAATTGTAGGCTTTCATTTGATTCTATGTACAATCCTCATCACTATCAAGAAGTGTATCATTGTCATTTCTTACAAGGCTGAAGGCATATTCCAATGGAAAATTCAGATAACATCCTACCTCTGGCATGGTCCCTTCTGTTGGTCAAAGTGAGGGTGATGTGCGAGGAAGGTGGGTGGCCCTCGTGACGCAGAGCAGCCATGACCTGAGCCACTGTGAGTGTGGAGGGCAGGCCTGAGGAACTGCCCAGGCTCTCGTGCACTAAGACATAAGATGAGGCACTCGATGTTGCTGTCACTGGCTTGCTAGTCTGGCTGTCCTGCTCAGTGGCTGGAACATGAAATATAGTCAAGATCAAAGATTCCTGCGGATCACATACAGTAACATCCTTACTTTTCACCAAGACCTTAATTTTCTTACATATGTAATACCCAAGAAATTCTATACATCTCACACTCGAACACAACAGCCATAAAGACCGTATCTCTTCCACAGACTTGAAAATGCAAAAGCCAAATCATCCCCCGGTGCAAAGACCGACCTCTCTTGGACATCCTGCTGTGAATACTCGAATTGACTTTGTTCTTCTCCCTCTTGTCCTTGGCTGTGACTCCCGCTGCAACTGACAGCTTGTCCACCAGCTCCAGGTGGCCCACCTCGTTAGCATCCCTTCTGTCTCCGCTGCTGCCCAACTCCAGGTCGCCCGAGTTGCTCAGCACGCCCCTGGACCAGTCTGAAGGAGGATTCCAGTCTGAGCACAAAGTCTGCTATCAGTAACAGGGAACTGAGAATGGAGGATGGCTAATGTGTGTTGATATGATGGTATATTTGTTTGTATGTGAATCTGTTGTGCATTAAACTTATGGTTACCCTATTATGATTTCTAAAAGATATAAGTTCAGTTAGATGATGCAAGCAGAGTTCTTATACCTGTATTTTATTCTCTTTTCTTTATAATTTGTTCATGTAACAAGTGAAGTCATAATAAAAAGCATTAAGCAAGATATGACCTAAACAATATATATTACCATGGATGCAATAGTAATGGGTACTGAATAATCCCAACCTTTCAAAATGTCAAAATTACATTATATAATCTAGGGGGGGGGGGGGGAGACTATCAGTTTCCCTCAAAATACCTGAGAAAGAAAATGAAAAAAAAAAAAAAAACAGAAAGAGAAAAACAAAAGCATCTTGACAAACCTGTGACCATCTTGACAATATCCGACATGGTGGTGGTGGTTGGGAGGTTGAGGAGCCTGGTCTTGTGTCCCGCTCCAAACTTGGGGTGCTGTGTGAGGAGGGGGAGGCTGCACCCTGTGGGCGAAGAAAGGCCTCCCTGGGGGCTGTTGATGTGCACCACCACGCGCTCCGTCTCCAAGAGGAGTTGAAGGACTAGGCGCCGTGTGAACCCAGAGAGGGAGTGCAAGTAGCTCACTCCACCTGAGGAGAGAAAGTGAGAAGCAATAAATCAAGGTTCATTTTATCAGCAATGGGTGCATCTGCCAACACTGAAGGTCACTTTAAGAGCTTTTGCCTATCAAAATATTAAAAATGAAGAGTACGTTTCCTTATCCTCCGAAAAAAGTACTTCAATTAAGCTCGAACAAGACATGAATCTTAGGCACTGCTAACAATTTGAATGATCTTTTCCAGAATTTCCTCATCATTACTTGTATTGTCTCATTATTATTCTTGTTCTTCATATTTATTTTTTGAAGAGTGAGTATTCTATAAAATCATTTTTTTAACCAAGCTTCTCATATAAACTCTCTTCCTTCAAATGAACATATCCAGAAGAGCAGCATTAGATAAATAAGCTAATCATTCCTTCATCCTAATTTGATCCTACCTGAGCAACTTGCAAAGATCTTCTCTACATTTTCCCACAATGAAAGAAAATAACAAACCCTCTTCCTCCAAGCTTAGTATCGTAATCCCACTAATGCCAGTTAACACTCGCAGTACCATAGACACAACACCTTCCCTCTTCCCTCCCCTAAGAGCATTCCCAGAGCCCTATTTGGATGAGGTGGTCCCGCGGAAAGTGACGCATCAGGGGGGAGAGGGGGGACGGGGAAATCCATAGACAACTCATCAGCGCAACAAAACAAAAAGTACTGAAAGAATTAGCCGTGCGAGGGCGAATAGAAGCTACTAGTTCACCTCATAGTCATTCATCTCCACACTGACCCAGTCGTTCTCCACTACAATCTCGCCCTTGTCGCCGTTGCCACTTCGCACTGATGCAGTGTTGTTGGGCTGCTGCAAATAGTGCAGGGGAAGAAAATGAATAGTTTGGGGTTAGAACTTTGAAACTCTGCTGTGTGAATTTCAAATAAAAGAAATAAGAGAGGGGAGAGCAGGAGAACTGACAGGGAAGGGGAGGCGGGAGGCTGGAGGTGAGAGGTGAGGGAAGGGGTGAGAGAAGAGAGAATTGGAGAGAGAGAAGCAAAGAGAAGAAGCAGAGGTGGAGGAGGAGGAGGAGGAGGAGAAAGGGGAGGAGGAGAAGAGGATGGGGGCAAAGAATAGAAAGAGGAAAGGAAGGGGAAGAAGAGGAGGATGAGAGGATAGGGGAGAAGAGAATGATGAGAGGATGAGAGGAAGAGGAGGAGAGGAAGTGGGTCAAGAGGAAGAAGAGGAAGAAGAGGAACGGGGAGATGAGGAGGAGGAGGAGTGGGGGAGAAGGAAGAGAGGAACGGAGAGGAGGAGGAGGAGGAGGAGGAGGAGGAGGAGGAGGAGGAAGCAGCATGAGATGAGGGAGGAGAAGGAAGAGAGGATGGGACAGGAAGAGAGGAAGGGGCAGGAAGGAAGAGGAGAGAGGAGAGGAGAGGAGAGGAGAGGAAGTAGGAAGAGGAGGAGGAGATGGGGAGGAGGAGGAGGAAGAGGAGGAGGAAGAGAGGAAGGGAGAGGAAATGAAGAAGAGGAGGAGGAGGAGGAGGAGGAAGAGGAGGAAAGGAAGAGACAAAGAAAATGAGGAGAGGGAAAGAGAGAGGAGGAGGAAAAAGAAAAGGAATAATATTTCAGCTAAACAGATTTTAAATTATCCTCCAAATATTAGGTAACATTGCCTTACTCATCAAAGTCCTATCAACACAAGACTATTTAAATACAGATAATCTCTAAAATAATTCATTACCATAACAGAGTCTGCCTCAGCTTTTTCAGAACTATATAACTATATATAATACACATATAACTTAATATTTTTTTTTCGTAATTAATAGTAATGATGGTGAAGACTGATGTTGATTATGAAAATATTTTTCAGTTGAAACATAATTTCTCTTGCAAGGATCAGAACTGAAGGTAATCATTGGTTCAAAATTACTGAGATATATTTGACAACCCACGAAAATGGGAATAACATGAAAAGTCATCCTTATTTTCCTCTTCACTCTTCTCCCACAATTCTTACATTTCTAAAAGAAGAAATCAAAGCCCAGTAACAACAATGAGACCTTGCAATACCATCAATATCAAACCAATTGCAAAACAGACAAACAGACTGACTGACCTGCTGTCCTGTGTCTGGGTAGAGAAGCGACATGTGCTGGGCCAGGAGCGAGAGGCCACCCTGACTCGTGAACACATGCAGGGTCGAAGGCAGTGGTTCGGTACAGAGCAGAAGGGCCTCTCGTCCGCTTTCACCTTCTGGCGGAAAGACTTGAATTGTAGGCTTTCATTTGATTCTATGTACAATCCTCATCACTATCAAGAAGTGTATCATTGTCATTTCTTACAAGGCTGAAGGCATATTCCAATGGAAAATTCAGATAACATCCTACCTCTGGCATGGTCCCTTCTGTTGGTCAAAGTGAGGGTGATGTGCGAGGAAGGTGGGTGGCCCTCGTGACGCAGAGCAGCCATGACCTGAGCCACTGTGAGTGTGGAGGGCAGGCCTGAGGAACTGCCCAGGCTCTCGTGCACTAAGACATAAGATGAGGCACTCGATGTTGCTGTCACTGGCTTGCTAGTCTGGCTGTCCTGCTCAGTGGCTGGAACATGAAATATAGTCAAGATCAAAGATTCCTGCGGATCACATACAGTAACATCCTTACTTTTCACCAAGACCTTAATTTTCTTACATATGTAATACCCAAGAAATTCTATACATCTCACACTCGAACACAACAGCCATAAAGACCGTATCTCTTCCACAGACTTGAAAATGCAAAAGCCAAATCATCCCCCGGTGCAAAGACCGACCTCTCTTGGACATCCTGCTGTGAATACTCGAATTGACTTTGTTCTTCTCCCTCTTGTCCTTGGCTGTGACTCCCGCTGCAACTGACAGCTTGTCCACCAGCTCCAGGTGGCCCACCTCGTTAGCATCCCTTCTGTCTCCGCTGCTGCCCAACTCCAGGTCGCCCGAGTTGCTCAGCACGCCCCTGGACCAGTCTGAAGGAGGATTCCAGTCTGAGCACAAAGTCTGCTATCGTAACAGGGAACTGAGAATGGAGGATGGCTAATGTGTGTTGATATGATGGTATATTTGTTTGTATGTGAATCTGTTGTGCATTAAACTTATGGTTACCCTATTATGATTTCTAAAAGATATAAGTTCAGTTAGATGATGCAAGCAGAGTTCTTATACCTGTATTTTATTCTCTTTTCTTTATAATTTGTTCATGTAACAAGTGAAGTCATAATAAAAAGCATTAAGCAAGATATGACCTAAACAATATATATTACCATGGATGCAATAGTAATGGGTACTGAATAATCCCAACCTTTCAAAATGTCAAAATTACATTATATAATCTAGGGGGGGGGGGGGAGACTATCAGTTTCCCTCAAAATACCTGAGAAAGAAAATGAAAAAAACCCAGAAAGAGAAAAACAAAAGCAACTTGACAAACCTGTGACCATCTTGACAATATCTGACATGGTGGTGGTGGTTGGGAGGTTGAGGAGCCTGGTCTTGTGTCCCGCTCCAAACTTGGGGTGCTGTGTGAGGAGGGGGAGGCTGCACCCTGTGGGCGAAGAAAGGCCTCCCTGGGGGCTGTTGATGTGCACCACCACGCGCTCCGTCTCCAAGAGGAGTTGAAGGACTAGGCGCCGTGTGAACCCAGAGAGGGAGTGCAAGTAGCTCACTCCACCTGAGGAGAGAAAGTGTGTGAGAAGCAATAAATCAAGGTTCATTTTATCAGCAATGGGTGCATCTGCCAACACTGAAGGTCACTTTAGGAGCTTTTGCCTATCAAAATATTAAAAATGAAGAGTACGTTTCCTTATCCTCCGAAAAAAGTACTTCAATTAAGCTCGAACAAGACATGAATCTTAGGCACTGCTAACAATTTGAATGATCTTTTCCAGAATTTCCTCATCATTACTTGTATTGTCTCATTATTATTCTTGTTCTTCATATTTATTTTTTGAAGAGTGAGTATTCTATAAAATCATTTTTTTAACCAAGCTTCTCATATAAACTCTTAATTTCTAGTCCTTCAAATTGTCTGCAAGTCCTTCCGAGGCAATTCACTTACTCAGCACATCCTAAAAACTAATCCCATTTTCTTAGGTTGATAAAGAATAAAGTGAAGAAAAGAAAACAAAGTGCAAAATATTGAAGGCATTCAACAGCTTTCTCCTCTTACCTGGAGGGGGGATGTTCTGCCGCTGGATAAGATGGCACAGCGTTGATGCCAAAAGGTTTTGGTTGTGAGGGTGGTTGTGACAACACTGCCTCATTAAATGGATAGTTGCATCTTCCACACTGCTGTAGTCACTGTCGCTTCCGCCAGAGGGACCAGAACCTCGCATCAATGGCTCACTGCCTCGTACCAGTGGGTCACCTGTGGAGGCACATTTGACATAATGTTCCATCTATTTTGTCTAAAATATTTGATTTTCATCTTACATTCTAGAAATTAAGTCAATCACAATAAGAAAAAAAAAAAAATAAATAAATAAAAATAAAAAAATAGATACAGTACACACTTTCTGTCACAAGGTTTAAAGACAATGAATGATGAGCCTAAACACCTGCTCACAACCTACCAAGAACAGTCAACAGTGGTAACCAGAACACAGATCCCTCAGCAGATCCTAGCCAGTCTTTCATTGGAGGTTCAGCGCACAGTGCAGCCAGGGTGTGCAGCGTGTGAGCCACCAGGGATGTGCTCAGTGTGGGGACAATAGCAGCCCTGATTTGTGGGGGGGCCTGAGGGGTGGCAGAGGAAAGGGTGTCTTCTGCATTGCGCGATTTCTCTGCTACACTTGCCTTCTCCAGGTCAGTTGCACTCTCCCCAGCACTTGAGGATGTGCAGCTCTCTACCTGGTGCAACACTTCTGTCTTGCACCATTCTGAAACAAGATGCAAATTGTATTTCTATACCATGTAATAATAATATATCTGTGTCTATTTTGCAGTGTTGCTAAGAGTAATGAAGACTAAGATATCTGAAAAGAGACAAAATCCATGAACTGAAAAAGTAAAATGGCAAACTACACTCACCCAAAATACCATGAACAAGCAACAGCGGGAATCCCGAGTCCAACATCAGGTGTATGGCCTGCGGAGACTGAGCCACTGTGGCCAGGGTCTGCAGGTGTGCTGGAGTGAGGGAGATGACGCTGGGGTCCTGGAGGATGAGGCGCCCTTCTACTGCCCCCGAGGAGCCCTCCACCCCCTCCTTCATGTCATCTGTTCTGGCAGCCCGGATCTCTGCTTCTCTGTCTTTCCTGCATTTGTGGAAAAAGTGTCTTTTAGTGTCCTGCTGACCCTGTTTCATTTATGGAGTTTGTAGTTGGCTGATTCTAAGAAAAGTCTTATGAATCCCACTGCCTGATGAGTACTAGTAAATGTCTGGATATTCATAAGTATAGAAATCTATATTTTTGCAAAAACTGGAACAAACACTAAAGAAAAGGAAAATGAAAACAAGAGAAAGAAAACACCTACCTGTCATCAGTTATTGACTGGTTATTGTCAATCACAGTCAGTACTGCCATGTTGAGCAGCAGCTGGGTGAAGAGCTGTGGCCGCACATGGCACATGGAGCACATGATGTGATCCAGCCCTATCTTCACTTCGCCTTCAACTCTCTCCGACCACTCATAAACACGCCTAAAATATAAAGATAAAATCAAAATCTGGTTCCATGGAAGACATGGAATGAGCTGAGGTTTTTGTATCACTTTCCTGATAACCCAATACATAAAAAAAATCTATAATACATGCAACTTGCATTTTCCAAAAAGTTCCTTAAAATGTGATTTCTGTCAAAATTTGTGATTAAATGCATGTGCTGGTAACTAAGAAATTCCGACCATACCTGAATAATTCATCTGTTATGAGGCTGGTGGTGTCATGTGGTGTGTTCCACAGCACCGCAGCAATGCAATGCAACACCTCAGCACTAACACCGCCATTCACGCATAGTTCTTGTGGGGACCGCTGTTGCTGTTGCTGCTGCTGGGAGGTGCCCAGACTGTGGTAGTCGTCAGTTGCTGGCGAGGGGGTTGCAGGGTGCAATACTATGTGGTTCAGCCATGATATTAAGACTGTTACACCCTCCATACTGCTGTTTCCGACACAGAGTTCATACAGGAGAGCTATAGCTGCGTCCAAGCTGTTACCACCTGTTAGTACGTTCAGGAGTTAAGTAGAGGAAGGACAAGTACGGCAATTCAATAAGCTTCATCAAAATTTCAAGAGCCTAAAAAGTACAAGAGTAATCAAAGTAGGTGTTACTCAAGTCCCCGTTATCACGTTTATACCAAAGGAAGTAGCTAAACCCCTCTTCTATGCACTAACCTGCTGGCTGGCGTAAGAGAGGGTGCGTGAGGAGTGTCATGATCAGGGTGTGGAGCAGCTGGGGCGAGAGGGCTGCGAGAGCCAGCGTGGTGGCCTCCAGTGGTGCCGAGCCTAGGGGGGCAAGGTGGAGTGGCCCCGGTGGAGTCAGGAGAAGTGTCACGCACGCCTCCATCACTCCCGACACAGATGCTCCTGCCTCCACCCCAACACTCAGGCCTCCCTCCACACGGCACATGCACTGGTGGATCAGGCGGAGCCACCACATGCTGAAGAGGTTAAAAGTTTTGTCAGTGGAGAACAATTTGTGAATTTTTTTTTATTGCAAAGGGCAGTCTGTTGAAAATGTAAATCAACCATTAAATTTTCACTGATGTAACCAAACCTCTGGTGGTAACAACCAAATCAACCTATGGGGAATACCTGGCACGGTGGGGCGTGTGATCGCTGATGGCCGTTTCGTGAACGCCTCTGGATGCTTCCCTGAAGGTTGTGGTTCCAAGAAGTTTGAGCTGAGACAGTCCCAGGGTGGAGGAGTCTCGTGGACGATGGAGGCGCACAACGACAATCGAGGCAACTACAGGCCGAGGGAGGACGAGGCGGACGCGGGAGAGGCCGGCGGTGCTCAGCGGGCCACTCACGGGCATCAGGTACCCACCCTCAACACCCACCTCCACTGATACTGCTGATGGACATGTGGAAAAAAAAAAGTGTCTTTTAGTGCCCTGCTGACCCTGTTTCATTTATGGAGTTTGTAGTTGGCTGATTCTAAGAAAAGTCTTATGAATCCCACTGCCTGATGAGTACTAGTAAATGTCAGGATATTCATAAGTATAGAAATCTATATTTTTGCAAAAACTGGAACAAACACTAAAGAAAAGGAAAATGAAAACAAGAGAAAGAAAACACCTACCTGTCATCAGTTATTGACTGGTTATTGTCAATCACAGTCAGTACTGCCATGTTGAGCAGCAGCTGGGTGAAGAGCTGTGGCCGCACATGGCACATGGAGCACATGATGTGATCCAGCCCTATCTTCACTTCGCCTTCAACTCTCTCCGACCACTCATAAACACGCCTAAAATATAAAGATAAAATCAAAATCTGGTTCCATGGAAGACATGGAATGAGCTGAGGTTTTTGCATCACTTTCCTGATAACCCAATACATAAAAAAAATCTATAATACATGCAACTTGCTTTTACCAAAAAGTTCCTTAAAATGTGATTTCTGTCAAAATTTGTGATTAAATGCATGTGCTGGTAACTAAGAAATTCCGACCATACCTGAATAATTCATCTGTTATGAGGCTGGTGGTGTCATGTGGTGTGTTCCACAGCACCGCAGCAATGCAATGCAACACCTCAGCACTAACACCGCCATTCACGCATAGTTCTTGTGGGGACCGCTGTTGCTGTTGCTGCTGCTGGGAGGTGCCCAGACTGTGGTAGTCGTCAGTTGCTGGCGAGGGGGTTGCAGGGTGCAATACTATGTGGTTCAGCCATGATATTAAGACTGTTACACCCTCCATACTGCTGTTTCCGACACAGAGTTCATACAGGAGAGCTATAGCTGCGTCCAAGCTGTTACCACCTGTTAGTACGTTCAGGAGTTAAGTAGAGGAAGGACAAGTACGGCAATTCAATAAGCTTCATCAAAATTTCAAGAGCCTAAAAAGTACAAGAGTAATCAAAGTAGGTGTTACTCAAGTCCCCGTTATCACGTTTATACCAAAGGAAGTAGCTAAACCCCTCTTCTATGCACTAACCTGCTGGCTGGCGTAAGAGAGGGTGCGTGAGGAGTGTCATGATCAGGGTGTGGAGCAGCTGGGGCGAGAGGGCTGCGAGAGCCAGCGTGGTGGCCTCCAGTGGTGCCGAGCCTAGGGGGGCAAGGTGGAGTGGCCCCGGTGGAGTCAGGAGAAGTGTCACGCACGCCTCCATCACTCCCGACACAGATGCTCCTGCCTCCACCCCAACACTCAGGCCTCCCTCCACACGGCACATGCACTGGTGGATCAGGCGGAGCCACCACATGCTGACGAAGTTAAAAGTTTTGTCAGTGGAGAACAATTTGTGAATTTTTTTTTATTGCAAAGGGCAGTCTGTTGAAAATGTAAATCAACCATTAAATTTTCACTGATGTAACCAAACCTCTGGTGGTAACAACCAAATCAACCTATGGGGAATACCTGGCACGGTGGGGCGTGTGATCGCTGATGGCCGTTTCGTGAACGCCTCTGGATGCTTCCCTGAAGGTTGTGGTTCCAAGAAGTTTGAGCTGAGACAGTCCCAGGGTGGAGGAGTCTCGTGGACGATGGAGGCGCACAACGACAATCGAGGCAACTACAGGCCGAGGGAGGACGAGGCGGACACGGGAGAGGCCGGCGGTGCTCAGCGGGCCACTCACGGGCATCAGGTACCCACCCTCAACACCCACCTCCACTGATACTGCTGATGGACATGCTGGAAAAAAATTAGATCCATGCTGACATTCTTGAAATTATGAAAGACATAGGTATGGTAGTTCAGCATAAGTCTATGTAATAGACTAGTAATACAATTCAGAAATTCTAATATCAACATCACCAATCACAAGGTAATAAGAACTGAACAATCAGAGAATAATCATGCCATTACATGGCACTGCACTGAAATTCTATTCCTGTTTTTCACAACAAAAATTGTATAACAATCCTTTTATCCGACAACTATAACAACTTCCCATCAACAACTCCAAGAAGGCATCAGTCCCGATAAACTAGTAACTACTGAGTATTGGTACAAGTTTCTTTACTCGGTAGAGGAGACTTACAGACAAGGGACACTGTGTGAGGTAGCAGATGGACCTCATGCAGCAGTACGGCACAGGGTAATGTCAGGTTCAAATCCACCCAACTCTCGTCAGGATAGAAGTGGTACGACCAGGGTGCACTCTGAAAGGATAAAGGAACAATCACTTTTCTTCACAACCCAAAGACTCAAAGGCAGACAACCTTCTTTAGATTGTAAGAAAATTTTAAAGAATAGGTAAATACATAAATAAATTCATGAATAAACAACTAAACAAATGCATCTTTGTAGGAATCAAGTCATATACAATCAAGAAAACAAGGACCTGAGACACATACCTTAGTCCTCTGGAACAGCTGATTAGAATCCACGAGGACATTGGCAGGTCTTGCAGTTGGGTTGCTTGATGTTACCACAGCCAGTGGGGCAAAGTTGTACAGACCCTGGTTCTGCTCAACTGTCTCGTTGCGTTTGTTCGAGGGTGTGTTGTGTGTTGAAGGTGGGAGAGGAGGAGCAAGGTGGTTCATGACTGCTGTCACCAAGCCACCTCTTCCACCTCCCATCATCCCTACACTGCTCACTAGGTTTTCCCACAGCATCTGTCCGTGCAAACAAATATTCCAAGTTAATTTTTCCTTTTTAGGATTTTCTTTAAATAAAAAAAACAAACTGTAGGTTGTCAGAACATTATTAAAAGCATAAAAGACACAAAATGCCATACCTTCATGCCCCCTAGTGCAGCAAATTTCTCCAGAATTGCCGGACAGTCAAGCACTCTTGTGAAGAAACAGAGAGCTGGTTCTGACAGTGAGGGGGGACTCCACCACCCACCTGTGAGAAGAGGAATTATATTAATGAAATGAATCTTCTCATTTAGACTTTTCATGAACCTACTCTTTTTGACAAACATTTCTCAAAGTAACATTTCCACCATCCCCACACACAAACCTGGGGTGATGAATTCCACAACAGGTCTCAGAATGAGGTCTGGCGCTGTGGCCTTGGCATTGAGTGTGAGCAGGAGCTGGTAGAGGGCATCAGTCAAGGTCTCCCCTAAGCACAGCTTCTCCGAGACCTCTCCACTGACGGTGCCCAAGAGCATGGACACACTGCTGCCTTCACAAGCTGCCACCGACTTCAGAAGCAGCTGCATCGTCTCTCCATTTTGTAATACTGTAGGAGAGGTTACCAAGGGTGAGTTTTGTTTGGGAAAGTGTTTGCACATGCAGAAAATTCCTGCTTTTGGATTCCTTTAAGATACTTAAGCTCTGGACATGAGGCAAATGTGAGACTAAAGCAAATGTGACCAACTTTTAGAGTACACCTTACATATTCTAATTTAAACTCTTTACCTTCAATAACATTATACATGAGCACTAAAAGAACATATATACATATCAACATCACTAACCTTTCTATTGATTCAATCTTTCTACTTTGCCTCTGCCTTTACAATAAGACATCACACTTTCATTACAATTGCTTTAAAACTTTCACAGAATAACTTAGCCCCTCCAAAATCAAGAGCTGAAAGGAACAACCAATTACCTGTATCTGCCAAGCACGGCACACTGTTTGGGGCGGCATGTGAGCAAGTCTGGGGGGTATGCATGGCTTTGTGTTCGTCAGTCTGGCTAGAACTGGCATCTGTGCGTTGCTGCTCTAATTTACTTGAGTCAGTCAGGGAACCCCCGGAGCTCTCCTGGGCTTCGTAGTTTGCCACTCCCACACGAACCTGGAGAAGATGCACAAGTCAAATGATTATCTCAAACTGTGGTCAGCTGAAGGAAGGCATGAGAGTAATATGGTGTAACTAATATTGCAAAAAACAAAGAAAATTATTAAATGAACTGTATTCATGTTGACAAATATAGAAAAGGTATGAATAATAATGAATATCTTCACAATACCAGAGATGTAATGTAATATCATATAATTATATAAACATGAGAGACAGTAATGAAGAGCATGTATTACAAACTTTTAACCAAGAGCTAACCATCCTTACCTGAGCCGGATTGACAAGTGGTGTTTGTGCAAGTTTGCGAGACAGGTTGAGGAGCGAGCACAGGAGGGCCAGGCGAGAAGGCGCTGGCCCCTGGCGTCCATCGGATCCAAGAACGGAGGCGAAGAGTCCCCCTAACATGGTGGCACTCTGGTTGTTTGCCCCATAGGTCATCCCTTCACTTGAGACCAAGTGGCCATGTACCAGAATCACTGTTGGGAGTGTTGGACATTTAGAAAAACTGCCATTCATGACGTCAAAACGTTCATGTGGTTTCAGTACTTAATGGAAATAACTAAAAAGGAAAGTTTCTTATTCCTAATCCTATAATAATAAGACTTTATGAAATAATAAAGACAAACATAAGAACTGTTCTAAATACTATCCTAAGGTCCAGAAAAGCAACTGGCCATTTCCTTCCACCGCCATGCCCAGACACCCACCTGTTGAACTGATGATAGTAAGAGGGACATGCATTCTGTCCAGGCCATCGTAATGCATGGACAGCAGTGTGCCCAGGAGACAGCACTGGGCATCAAGGGGCCCCATGGCAAGTGAGATGGCCCCCTGGGGCTCCAAGAGACGAGCCACAAGGCTTAGCAGGGCATGTTTCAGGGTTGTGCCGGGCCCACTGGTCACGCTGATGACGTCACACCTCACGCGAAGGCGGACGAGGAGGTCTTCCAGGAGTCCTGTGACGGTGCTCCCAACCTGGAAGGAGCAAAGGCTAATGCTAATACTGTCCCTCAATTTTCTAAATCTTTCAAATGTATGAATATAAAAAAATCATGTCTTCCATAAATAAAGACACACTCTATAGAATATTAGCTATTAGAAGTTCCTTAAGAACAATATATGCTAAGCTCACTCAATTTACACAGTGACAAGTTCTATGGATAAAAGAAGACAATCAACTCACCACATCACTTCGCATATCTGAGCCAGTAGCACATGATCCGGTCAAAAGTTTCTGTAGTGCTGGGACAAAGTTTGTATCTGTCACAATATTCATGGACATTCCAGTCTGAAAATAAAGTGATATAATGTCAAACATTGATAGAATCTTGATTTTCTCTTTGCAAAACAAGAATCTCAGATCATCAAAAGATATTACATACATTCCTCAATATATTTCTATATGCATATAAACTAGTATTCTCTTCTATGATATATAAAACTGCATGAACTTTAATAGTTTTCTATTTACAAAATGTTCATTCTTCAATTTTCCTGAACATAAATTCCAAACTTCCCCAACCGAAACTGAACACCCTCTAGAATCAAAGCCAGTATCATCTTGACACAAATCCACACATTTTGGAGACTAAATCTACTCTAAACAAATAATAAAAACTCACCAAGTCTACATGGTCATACTGATCAGCGCTGGTAGGGTGTGGCGCTGTGGGTTCCTGGGGTGTATAGTTGCAGCAGAGTGTGAGCGTCTGGAGTACAAGACACCAACACCGCATACTGACACTTCCACTTCTGGGTATATGCAAAAATCACATGAGTTATGCCACTGTTGACTATGTGAGTAAACATCTATGACTATATAACAGGGTAGGGAAGCCATGAAAATGTATTTATGAAAAATAAAAAAAGTCAAACCTGTCCTTCACACCTAAAAATATCTACTGCACAATACCTTCAGAGGAAACCAGAAAATATATCAACATAGAAACAAAATTCAAATATCCCTCATTCATCATCATAATAAAATTTCCCCTATTCTTACCTGACCACTGCAGCCAAGAGTGCTGAGATGGCCCTTGGTGTCAGGTGCACTGTGGGGGCAACAGAGGGAGAATACTTGCCCCCTGCAAGCTCCAAGTTGATGCTGAGCCACAACCCAAGCACTGATTCAACGTGGCTGCCATCGAACTGAAACAGAGATAGAGAAGTGACGAGGTTATATAGATAGGCAGATGGATAGATAAGTATATAAATGGGTAGGTATATAGAAATATATATCAAAATCTGGATCCAGTCTGATAATATTTGCAGTATCAAAAATTGGCTAGTGGCCAGTAAGGTAGGATTGTTGGCGTACATATGCAGTCCTCCATCGCACCCAGATCATTCAGTATATCAAGCACAGCTCTGGGTACTTAGTCTTTCATGGCTGGAGTTTGTAAGCAAATGCTTGAAAAAAGTAATGTTTTCTTTCACTTTTGGTGCCTATATCTAATTGCAGGACCAAACTATAATACTACTACCAATGGAGGAAGATTAACTTCCTCTAACTGATATTTCCTGCCATGGCATTTAGTGGGATACACTTATAGTAAAGTTACTTCACTTTCCTCCTACATCAAGAAAGAAACAGGAAATTTAGAAAAAGGTGAAGAACTGAAACGAAGAGAGAAAACAGTGGGGGTACAATTCACAAACATACATGACAAGACTTCAATACACAGATAATCCTTAACAAGAATATCTGAGTAACAAACCTGCATAGACAGGTGTAGGAGAATCTTCTGGAACACTTCGGTGAGGAGTTCCACGCTGCCTGTCAGGTCACCTGGGCCACAGACTTCAGTGTCACCCCACATGCCGTTGTTCACCTGAAGTCGATCGTCATAATCACTCAGAGCGAAGACATAATTTATTATGTGATATATATATGAAATATGTGCACAATAAAGAAGACAATCATTTGTGAATATAATTACTGACTATATGAAACATACAACAATCAAAATAAAAAGTAGAAAACAAAAGACAAAAGAAACTGTACCTTCAGTGGCGCAGTGACAGCTAGACTGAGCCTGGATGTGTGGACAGCAGCCATCATGTGCAGCCTAAGCTCAGACAAGAGAGACACTCCTGCCTCCAGCCTGGCATCAACAGCTGTGGAGTGGTCCATCCCTGGGTGTGAGCTGGCCAAAGGTCCCGCCACCAAGTCCCCGATGCGGGAGTCCTTGCCACTGCGGGATGACGATTGAGTGGGCAGTGGAGGTGGGTAGGGTGGGGGAAGACTAGGGGGGAAAGAAGATAGAAAAAAGAAAAAAAAAGAAAAAAAAAGAAAAAAGAAAAAAGAAAAAGAAAAAAAAGAAAAGAAATAAAGAAAAAAAAATACACAATCAGAATAGACAACAATTTATTTTCTTTACACTGTACCTATCACTTATTAATTAACTAGCCCAAAGATCAATTGCCTTTACTTTAATATAATGTCACTAAACAATAAAGCACTGCTCTGACAACTTACTTTGATACAGCGAGTTCAAATGAGGTAATGCTGTTGTTCGAGGCCCCTCCAACGAAAGCCGGCATGTCTGCTAGGTACTCCCCAATCATGTCTTCACTCTCAGAGCTGTCTTCTAAGTCAAGGAAGGAATATTTTCCTGATGTGAGAAAGGAGCAAGCAATAGTTAAGAAATGGATACCTTAATCTATCTGCCAACTGATCATACTCAATACTCATTTAACTATAGCCATTTCATCTTACATAAAACATAATAAATAATAAACTAATAACTAATTCAAAAAGCACCACCACCCTGATGTTCAAAGTAGGGAGAGACAAATGCCAAATGAAGAGTTTAACACCATTTCTCCTGATAATTATTCAGAAATGATCAGCTCCTTCTTACCAGGTATGTCTTCTTCCTCCAGGGTGTAGTGCGCCGTGGCCATGCCCACCACAGGGGGGCTGAGGGGCGTGGCCGACTGGTCCGCCTGGCAGTTCTGGGTGACCACACATGCACCCCCTAAGGGTGATGCACTGCTCTGGGGGGATCCAGTGCCACCTTCCCCAGCAGCTGATCCATTCACAGTTGGTGCCACTCCATTCCCTGTGGGCCCAGCGGGACCTGAGGATCCCGACTGGCCTGCTGCAGCTCCTGACGGCCCAGCTACAACGGCAGCAGCTGAGGTAGTTCCTGATGTCGAAGGGACTGCAGCTGCAGCTGCCGCTGCTGCTGCCGCTGCTGCTGCTGCTGCCGCTGCTGCCCTTGCACCATCCATCGCTATGTCAAAGTTCTCAACTTCTTCCCTGTGTTGCTCTGTGTTCATGACTACACTGCCATATAAGCGCTCACCTGTGTGGTAAAACAATAAAAATATACAAGTGAAATATAACTTACCCCATGGGCTTTTTACAAACTTCTCCACCTTTCTTGACAAGAGAAACAAAATGAAAACGTACCTTCAAGAATATCCTGCAGTAGACAAGTAAGTGCGTGAAGGGCCCAAGGAGCTCCCCAGGTGGTGTCCAGTGTGAGGGCATGACGCAACAGAGCCCCCAACTGCGTACGGCTCACAATTTCCGTCAAGGCTGGACTTGGCCTTGTCACACTAACGAGGCCTCCAATCACCTATGGAGGAGTACAGCGTTAATAACAGTTTGATTTCTTGTAAGGATTGTGTTTGCTAATGGATAAAAAAGACCTCAGTAAACTTTATACTCGTTACCTACATGGACAAATAACAAGCAATAAGATTAATGAAAAAACGAAAATAAAGTAAGCCTTTAGCATGACTTACATTTCAAAGATACTTATTTGCAAAACATAAATCTTAACACATTGTTTGTTAAAATTCAACAAATTGTGGATTAAATAATAATAGTAATAATAATAATAAATAATAATAATAATAATAATAACAACAATAATAATAATAATTACATTAATGATACAATAATGAGGGTAAAAATAATGATAATAATACTAATAATAAGAACGACAACAATAACAATAATGATGAAGATAATAATAATATCAATATTGATAATAATTATAATAATATTAATAGTAATAATAATAATAACAGCACACACTGCAAACTATATTTATATAAAACCAGAATGATACCTCAAAACATTTAAAATAACAATATTCTAAACCAGTTTACAGAATAACGTTCACTGGCACCACAAATAATAATCAGTGCTATCAGTAAAACAAGAACCGAAAACAGCCTTTGCACCAAAACACACCTTGCACGTCAGCAGGAAGGAGTCCACACAACATGGTGAGCTGGAGTTCATAAGGAGCTTAATGAGTCCGTGCGCCACCGAGAGGGCGTTCGCTCGGTCCAGGGGCATGAAGGCGTCCTGTGGTGGCTCCCCGTCATCCTTGCGCGCCCCTCCCCCCCCGCTCGACGAGGCAGAGGTCGTGCGAGAGTATCTTCTAACAATGGATCTCCGGATGGTGTCCAGCTTCTGGTAAATTTCGCCACTTAGTCCTGCTAGAACTTGCTGCACAGTAACAATATGGAATATCATATACCATGACCAAGTTACATGACACAAAATGCTTGAACCTTGCATACTTGAACCTATGATACAAAGCATGGTGTGCAGGTGTTAAACTTTGTTGACATTTACAGCAATGAAGAGATCTACAGAGGGGGGCAATCAAACACCAAGGAGGGAATGGTTCCGAAGGATGACTCTCGGAACCAAAGTCTCTCATGCGTATTGACTTGCCACTCGTCAAAAACAAGTAAACAAACAAAAAAAAATCATATTACTCCAACACTGTTTTGAAAACAAACACCACACAACAAACCTTTACTTACGATATGGCCATCAAATTCGTTCTCTTCTTAATTCTAGATCTATTATTCACTGCATACATGAAGGCCTTACAAAATCCTTTCTAAAACCACATTATATTTTACTTCCCAATCATGAAAATATAATTCCAGAAGTCCAGAGAAAGTCAGTTTTTTTTCTTCTACTATAATAACCACATGCATGACAAACTTTTGTAACCCATGACATATGAATGCAGTTCATCATTCTATAATGAATCCAGACTACTTATTATATTCAATAACAACAGAACAGAAAAGAAAAGAAAAGAAAAAAAAGAAACACAACACACTACAAGAACAAAAACAAAACAGAGAGAAATGAAAGGCACAAAATTCACAAGCAATTACCCCGGCCGTGACCTCCCCCAGGGACTTGGTAGCCGTCTCCAGATTCACCAGCTGCTGCTTTTGGTGGTAGACAAGGCGCTTGCGAAGGCGGTCACGGGAGGCCCTAGGGGCACTGCACCTGGCCTCCGAACCCCTCCGCTGCAGGCAGGTCTCGGCTGTCAGCCAGGTCCAGCGGCCACCTGCAACAAAATGATATCCTGTAACGACAGTTTACATTAATACAGATGGTAAGTGTGTCTAGGCAAGGCTTGTCTACACATTTTTTTTAGATAAACAGAAAAAAACAAACAAATGTATTCTATCTACAAACTAAATTCCAATGTAATTTTTAACAGGTGTGCACCCTTAAAAGATATCAAAACAAAAAACCTTTATATATTTATATCTTTATTCATTTTATTGTCATTATTCTTTTACCCTAGTTGATGTAGCCAACAGTGGACTTTAAAATAAAAGAGAGGGAGAGGGAGAGGGAGAGAGAGAGAGAGAGAGAGAGAGAGAGAGAGAGAGAGAGAGAGAGAGAGAGAGAGAGAGAGAGAGAGAGAGAGAGAGAGAGACAGAGAGAGAGAGAGAGAGACAGAGAGAGAGAGAGAGAGAGAGAGAGAGAGAGAGAGAGAGAGAGAGAGAGAGAGAGAGAGAGAGAGAGAGAGAGAGAGAGAGGGGGGTTAATAATAAAGACCTCACGAGAGCATAAGAGAGAGTTAGACAACACAAGATATCTTGAGAGAGAAAACAGACAACCATGAAACCACAACCCACCATTCTCTTTGCCTTTGTCACTGTCGCTCTTGCGGGTGGGAGTGAGAGCATCCAGGCAGAGGGAGAGGTAGAGCAGGAGCCAGGAGATGAGATGCGTGTCCACCTGCGATGATGCGACCTGCCACGGCTGCCAGATGTTGTCCAGCCCTGCCGCCGGTACAGGGACAGCGCCATACTGTACCTGGCTCCCGCTGCTGTGGAGCTGGGCTGACAGGACCCGCAGGACCGCGTCAATGACCTGGCTTCCACGCCCACTCCCCACACTCTTCTGCCCAAGGAAGGTGAGCAGGGCAAAGACTCTACATGGAGTGAGAGAGAGTGTGAAAACATGTTTCTAGGGTTAGTACTTTTGTTAAGGAAAACTATGAATAATCAATGGAAAGAGTGTGTATTAAAGAATCATTTATGCTTCTCTATCCACTTTGACCACCTATCTACTTGTCTGTATCTATATATATCTATTTATAAATAACAACCTTTAATGTTTCAATGAGAACCTTAAAAAAAAAAATCTGAAATTCGAAAGAAAAGAAACTATGAACAAATATTCACAAATCTATCTTTTTCTACCTTTTTACCCCTGTATCACACAGTGTAATCAATCGGACCACATCATTCACCTTGTGGCTGGGAAGTGTAGGGTGTTGCTGGACGAGAAGAGAGTGATCATGGTGCTGGCCAAGAAGTCTCCCCACCAGGGCTGACCAGCACACAGGCGGGCCAGGAGCGAGGCCACCCCCACCTGCGCGCCCTTTGGCCCTCGCACGCACACCTGCTCCACAAGCACTCTTGCTTGCTCTGGGCCACACCATTCCATGAGATTGTGTGGAACCTATTTTGGGAAGAAGGTACCATCAGGGTATGAATGACGTATCTACTGAAAATCTGATTTAAGTTTAGGTAAGTTAAATATTTCTCTCAATTATTCCCATTCTCTAAAGTACAACAATGTTTGGAAGACACATACCGACATGCTAGGTATTGGGAGAGACAGTGTCAAAAGACAATTGAGCAGATACTGCATGAGAGTGGCTAATTTGTCAGATGCACAGTTTGCAGCTGTCACAAACTGTTGTTTACTGTCTCGAGAAGCAGAGGAAGTAGGAGAAAATTGTCCAGCGATGCCCTCTCCACTGCCTCCCACCCTCTGGAGACGACGCATCACCGATACGACCAAGTTGAGGTGCTGCTGCTCTAGCATACATTCCTGGAAAGATCATTATCTTGAGAATGGCATCTTTGCTGTAAAAATCCTCACAAATCCTGTAATTTAAACTAAAAAAGTAATACTTATGTCAGTTCTAAGAGTATACAGGGTTCCATCATTAAATAAACCCAATGGCACCGGGTGTACAAAAAAAAACAAAAAAACTCTATGCTCTGGCAAATAAAGGCAGCGACTTTGAACGCGTGAGTAGGGAACATCAGCCCAAATCACTGGCTCACCGCACTTTGGTGTGCTGCAGCGGTGTGCTGTGCCGATCGGCGTCACCCAGTGTTAAGGGGTTATATAAAAATGAAATAAAATCTGTAAGGATTTTTTAGAACCCTTCATAAAAAACTGATAAAGATAGCATAAACCCTTTAAAATAGAGATTTTTCCCCCCAAAATCTATCACATAACAAACCTGATAAGCCTGTGTGATTTTCCTCTCCAAGTCGGCATCACGCGACCCTATGGAGGGGGGCTCCGAGAGACCCGAGGATGAATTGGGGCCCGTTGGAGCGGTGGGGCTCATGAGGAGAGGGTTCAGCAAAGACCTGAGCTTGCTGCAGGCCAGGCTGTAGCGGCATCCAATGTCCTCAACAACACTGCTCAGGACCGTCAGCTGAGTCTGGGAAGAGGGACTATCTTTTCAGACACATATAAGAAGGTACACAAAAGAACCAATCATATATATAATACATGGGTGATTTATACTTAACAAATATTCATGACATAGAGAGCACAAGTGTGGGTGGCTATCTGTGCATCCTACACATCCTAAATCCATTAAAAAGCATCTGTTTTCAATGCAAACTTTGCCACAACTTTCTCTTGCTGGAATACGTACCTGGGCTGACAATTTGTTGACAATGCCAGGAGGTGGGAGACTCCCTTGCAGCTGCCAGGGGAGGATGAGTGTGTGCCCATAAAATGCGCCAACGGGTATTCTGCACTGTGATGAGGTGTTCATGCCATATCTTCCCAGTGTCGTTACCTGTTTAAAGATTATAGATATATTATCCATGGATGTCAGAAATTTTTTTATTTAGGTAATATCTATCCAATCTCTCTCCTGACAGGTAAAATGTAAAGTATAACCATATCACTAGTCCTTACAATTTGCAAATATATCCACGCGACATACACAATGGACAGCAGTGGAAAAAATATAAGTTACTGCTTACCTTCAAATACCTGCAGAGAGGTGGCGGTTGCAAATCTGCAAGAATGAGAGGCCTCATGCCGATGTCAGAGGCCACAACCAGCCTCTCTCCGTCCATCTCCTCTCCGGTCATCCAGATATCGATGCTGAGGGACACTAAATCACCACAAGCTGGAATCACCACATCTGCAAAAGCCAAAAGGAAATGGTAACTTTTAAGGAGATATGTTATTTACAGATAGACAGATGCACTATAAATTATATAGAACACATTTACATGAAAAAAAATATATATGTATACACACACACACACACATATATGTATATGTATATGTATATGAATATATATACATACATATATGTATATTTATTAAAATGTAGATATAGATAGACAGATATATATGTATATATGTAGATAGATAGATAAAGATAGAGATAGAGATAGATATAGATATAATAGAATCTCTATCTATCTATCAATCTATCTACACATACACACACACATGTATATCATACATCATAACCCGTGTTCACTGCGCCATCATAAACGTCCTTCCCATGCAGGAAAACAAACCGCTTCCTCACCTGTGAGCAAAACTGGAGCTCCAAAGTCAAGGACCACGAATCTCCTTGCCCCCGAGTGCATCCTCTCGATGACCAGCATCTGCTGGGGTGGGAGTGAGAGCAGCTGCTGCCAGGGGGCTCCGAGTGACCCCTGGACGGCTGATGGAATCTTCTTCCCGGTGTTTGCAGTCTCCTTGGCCTGTGGGTGGGCCGCAGAGGGCGTTGAGGACTTGCTTTCCAGGGAGCTGACGTCTTCCTCGCTCTTCCTCTTGGTGTTGGATCCCTGCTGGCTGGACGGCTTGGAGTCATCTTCGTCCTTCTCCAGTGAGGTCAACCCGAAGTCAATCTTGCCAGACACATCTGCGCCCACGTGCCCGTTGCCAATGTACTGCACTGTGGTCGAGTCCATGACGTCATCACACTCGGGCAGCAGGCATGAACTCACTCCGTCGTGGTCTGGGGTGGTGTCTGAGCTGCGTGACGAGATGGTGCTGGCCTCCTCCTTGGCGTCGCTGGCCTTGCCCTCGACATCCAGCGGAAGCAGAGGGTCTACTGCCTGTGAGCCCGAGTTCTCTGCCGCCACCACCTTGGCCAGTGTCTGTGTGCGCTGCTTGGCCTGAAAAGCAAGCAGACAGTGTGTGTATTTGTCTCAGCTATCCCAACCAGACACTGAGAAGGATCTACAGCTCAGTTCTTCTTCCTTTCCTTCTATTTTATCGCTTGATTTGTATTCACTTGACTGTGACACCATATTGAAAACATGGGCATAAAAATCAAAACACCGAATTCCAACCAGAAAACAAGCACATGTATTCTACATCTCACAAGAAGAGAGCACAAAAAATGAAAAAAAAAATAATAATTACGAAAAAAAAAAAAAAAACTTCAATAACGAAAGCTACCGTCTCTACCTTTTGAAGGCAGTGTTTCATTGAAGCTAACTGGTCACTGAGAGTCTGCAGCTTCTCTAGATAAGTTTTAGTGGCCTTCTTAGCTAGTCGAAGCTCGAGAGCCTGATTCTTTACGGCCATGTCTTCAACTGCCTTGTGGAGCTGCAAAACAGTTCACTGGGCTAAGCGTTTTGGTTCAAGGACCAACCAAAAACACTACTTAATTACACACACACAACAACAATCAATCAAGTATATCACAAAGTGAAAATAGAAAAAAAAAAAAAAAAAAAATGTAGTATTTAAAAGCAGCTTGACTGTATTTATTTCTGAGACTTAATATTTCCATAGTAATTTGATGACCACAATAATAATACTTATGACATCAAAATGAATAGATGAATGAATGAATGAATAAATATCACAATGGTAATACTAACAACAATGACTGATAATGATAATGACTATGATAACAGCATTAATAATAATAACAGTTACAATCAATAATGAAAATAATAATAACAAAAAAAAAAAAAAAAAAAAATTACAATAGTAAAAATAATAATAACAATAGTGATGATGACACTAGTTGTTGTTATAATAATAATAGTAATAGTAGTAGTAGTGATGATGATGATGATGATGATGATAATAACAATAATGACAACAAAAATGATAAAAAATAGTAATAGTAGCAGTAGTAGTAAAAATAATAATAATAATGATACTACTACTACTACTACTACTACTACTATCAATATCAATAATAATAATAGTAACAATAACAATAACAACAACAATAATAATAATAATAATAATAATAATAATAATAACAATAATAATAACAATAAAAATAATAACATTAATAATAACAGTAATAATAACAATAACAACAACAATAATAAAAGTAATAATAATATTACTAACAATATAAATAACAATAATAATAGTAATAACAAACAATAACAGCAATAATAAGTAATAATAATAATTGTAATAGTAATAGTAATAGTAATAGTAATAATGATAATAACAATAATAACCTTACTCTATATCTGCACAGAAACCATACCCATCTCCCACAGACAAATTCATAAATATACAGTGTTTGAGTTGGAATTCATAGTAGTCAATGTATATACAGTTTGTCATCAAACCTGCCTCTCTTTATGATAGCATTAAAAACTGGAATCTTTAAATAATCTTAAAAAGTTTGCACGACAGGAGAGGATGTTCAAAATATCAAACAAGTGTTACACCCGAGACAGAGTCAATGATAATGTAAATTCTTCCAAAGCGGCCATTCCTTACTTTGACATAGGCATTACTCTATAAAGCGATTCCTTATGCAGTTGGGAAAAGCAGATGGTCAATGAAACCGCCACAATCAGAGTAATCAGTATGAATGAAAATATGTTGCTGGTCATTCATAGACTTTCCTGCTGTTGAATATATAAACATCTAATGTGTGAAAGCAACTTGCAAACAACTGTGTGCACATACCACAGAGCAGGCTGTGTACATGGTATGGATACTTTCCATGAAACACATGGGCCTGGTGTGTTAGGGCAAGAATAGATGCCAACCTCAGTCTATTGCAGTCTTCAAAAAAATTATTTCATTTAAAAAGCTAATGTTTCAAAATTACTTAAATCTAAATGTATCCCAATCTTTAACATTATCAAACATACGAGATCAGATTATTTACTGTGAACACAATATGAATACATGAATAGCAACAGAAACACTGTATATCAAATACTTAGCCCCTGAGCTATAGAAGACAGGCAAAGTTTTTATGTGAATATAAAGAAAAGTGATTATGGTAAGGGTGATATAGTATGACTACTACATCTACCAATAACAATGAAAAAATAAACTTGTAATAAATAGTGATGATATTGATAATAACAAAATATGTCTTCACAGGTGCTTATGTCAACAAGGGATTAATTACTAGGCCTACATGTCTCACCTGTTTATCCTATTCTTTGAATTTTGAGGATTTTTTTTTTACTTCTACTGCTATTACCATTATTGACATTTTTAGCATTACAACATTACAAACAATACTAATAGTAATAAAAATAAACATCTTTAAAAAAATTCAAGGAACAGGGTAAACAGGTGAGATCATAAAGACCTAGCAACTGAATCCTTAGTGACTAAGAACTAGTGCAGCTATCCAAGTGTAAACAAAATCATTAAATTAAATCACATAGGACAAGGTATTTTACTTTAACCCAACATCAATAGGTCCTTACAACAAAAACAAAAACAAACTTGAGTAACTACCAAATAAAAAATGTTTTCAATTGAAAATAAGGAAACATGACTGTGAACTTACCATGGTGACAGACACATCGACTGCCTTGGCTGTGCCGCTGCTGGTGGAGGCCTCAACCTGGGAGAGGGCATTGGTGTCTAAGCCCCCTGGGATAGTGAACGGCTGCATCATAAAGGGACTGCCAGGGTGACCTGTACCTGACAGAGAAAGAGGACTCTTCTGTTTGCAGATCTTGAACAGGAAGGATATGCACTTGCACAATGACTATTAACCTTCCCCTCCTCTCACTACTACAATGATTCTCTGCAAGCTGGTATTTCCACTCTCCCTGCATGTTGCATATTTTTCAGTTTTTTAAAATAATTCCCTAATGAGGAGGGGGAGAGGTTACCTCTTACCTGTACAACCCTGATTTCTATTTATCTATATATAACATAGTACATATGTTCCCATTTCAGCATAGTCAGACACTCACCTGAAGAGGCCCTTTCCATCTTGGTGCCGTCACTGGCCATGTGAAGTGTGAAGTGCAATGGCTCGACCTCCAGGAGGCCACAGAGAGCACTGGTGTGTGTTAGCCCGAGGGACGCACTGCCCTGGGCTCCACCTCTGCCGAGGAGACCTCCAATGTCACTATCATCCCGCCCCATGACAGAGTATGGGTAGCCGCCTGTGGTTCCTGGGCCGTGATTTTTACAGGTTGTATACGAAGAGGTCTGCACACCTCCCCCTGGGCCCCCTTGAAGGCTAGAGCTTCCAAAGCTGATATTGTTGTTGTTGTTGTTATTGTTGTTACTTGTGCTGTGGCTAGAGCCTGAATGGCCAACATTGTTACCATTGATCTGTTGAGGAGAAAAGAGGAATAAATGCAAAAATGATAATAAAGATCAAGAAGTAAATGAAATTCCATTAGTGATCAAACCAAGTATATTTTCTTCAACACAAAAAGCCTTACTGTCTGCTTAGCGAGTAATGGAGGCTCGATGTCAAAGAGTTCCCTCTCAAAAGGTGTCCCGTAGAGATTAAATTTTGTTTGTAATACTGCGTGTAAGGGATCCACCTTCCCACTGACGGCCTCCGATACAGTGGACAACAGCTGAGTAACCTGCAGAGAAAAAATACTTAAGAGTTGCACAGCAAAGATTGTACTGTTCACATACAAAAAAGCACTATAGTTGTTCTTGAGATTAACAAGAGGTAAAATACAAAGAAGAATAGAAGAGATGGACAAGACAGAAGATGGAAAAAAAAAAAAAAAGTAAGCAACCCACCTTCCTGGCTGTGCCCCATGGGTTGCACCACTTGACGTGATTAAGCAGAGTGAAGAACCAGTGGAGAGCCCCGGCACTCTGGCACTGGAGGATGTGGTCGAGCCATTCCAGGAGGGCCTCCAGTACTGCCCAGCCAAATACGGAGCCTCCCTCCACAACCCGCGACCCCCTGAGGAACGCACAATGGAGTTGTGTTATCATTACTTACGCGCAGCTTTATTTGGCAAGGATTTTGTTCTCCTCTTTTCAAAGGTTCATACTTAAGGGAATTAGCTACTTTTGAAATATACAAAATTAAATCTAAGTAAAATTAAAGACACTAATAGGGAAATGGGAAAAAGGTCTTCTTCTAAACATTCTAGAAGTTAAATCAGACACAACAACTTTAATTAATGCACTACTCAACTAAAAGCTAATACACAACAAAGGGAATCAAATAATACATCCTCCCTTAGTAATAATATGTAAAGTTCTGAAAATACAAAAAATCTATCTTATGAAAAAAAAAATAAAGAGCAATAATATATAATAAGTAAAATTGTGTATATATATTCGAGGAAATAAACTCCTTTCACTTACTCCAAAGCAGTCACTATGATCTTGGCAGTTTTGTGTGCAATGCTACGGTCAGCAAGCAGGACACAGGAGCGCACTAATCCTGACAGATGCAGCTGCAGAAGTGTTATAATTCCAACACTTACGGTACGGTCATCGACTGTGAAGGGAAATAAAACCATAAAATGAATGGCGATATTCATGGCAGTGATAAACAAGATAGTGAGAGAATGATATACATATGAGAAAGAGAGAGAGAGAGACGGACAGAGAGAGAGAGAGAGAGAGAGAGAGAGAGAGAGAGAGAGAGAGAGAGAGAGAGAGAGAGAGAGACGGACAGAGAGAGAGAGAGAGAGAGAGACGGACAGAGAGAGAGAGAGAGAGAGAGAGAGAGAGAGAGAGAGAGAGAGAGAGAGAGAGAGAGAGAGAGAGAGAGAGAGAGAGAGAGAGAGAGACAGCATGTGCATGGGGGTATATGTGCACACGCACTTGTATATGCATGTGTGTGTGTGTATGTGTGTTTATGTATGTGTGTTTATGTGTGTGTGTGTGTGTGTGTGTGTGTGTGTGTGTGTGTGTGTGTGTGTGTGTGTGTGTGTGTGTGTGTGTGTGTGTGTATATAAAGGTGGAAAGAAAAGTTACCTCAACTCTCAGGGGAATCATATTTCACACATAACATCTAAGCAATACATCAGACAATAATGACTTCAATAATCCAATCAGCATGGACTGTAACGAAACACAGGCCTGGACTCACTTGCTGCTGTGTGTATTGATGTGATCCACAGCAGAAGGTCAAGCGCTCGGTGACGAACGTGGTCAGAAGAATTGTCGGAGATAACAGCCTCGATCAGGTTTTTGTGGAAAGCTTCATTTTCCACAATTGATAGTCTCTGCAACCTGTGAAAAAGATGGGGAAGATGTGTACATTTACATATCATCATTAATATCACAGGGAAATCATTCAGAAAAACAGAAAATTTTAAAATCAGGAAGAAGAAGAGAAGACAGGCACGACCCTCAGAGAAATTTCCCTGTCATCTTCAACCAATAAAATAATCCATCAACCCACACCAGTACCAAATATCAATCGACAACAACAAAAAGAGATTACATACCTGTCGTGTAGAATGGTTGTCTTTGCACAGCATCTAACAGTAATGGAAAGCTCTTGGATAATATCACAGCCACGAACTAATTCAACACGCTTATTTGAGGAGGCAGCAAGGCGGTCCAAGAAGGTAGATGATTGTGGAGGCATGTACTGAGTCACAAGGTCTAGGTCACTGTTCTTCTGCAGGTCCTAAGTGAAAGGGAGGCCAAGATATAATCATGTGTTTGGAAAGTAACACACGCCCCATAGGCGAGCTTTGGTATATGATAAGAGCCGTTGCACATACAATATGACGGCTGGCCATACATTTGTGGCCTCAATTTCAAAAAAACAATAGTAGCAGCTGTGTGGGCTAAGAAAAATTGTAAAATAAATAAAATATCAGTATATCCCAAGAAAACTAATGAATGACAATGGGAGGAAAATATTTTCGAAAACACAAATCGCCTGAATATTTTCCTGACCTGTTGCTGTTGCTGCTGTTGCTGCTGCAGTTTTGGCGGTAAAGCTTTGATGTGCACAAGGTATGTCCTGGTGCGGCAAGCCAGCAGACTGGGTGAGGTGAGAGTGACATTGGCTCCCTGGCCAGAGAGGTCCATGCATCGGTTGACTGTCACAGGACCACAGAGGATTTCAGCGTTGTGAGTGAACTGGAACTCCTTCGTCAATACCGGGTTTTCTGGGTAATCTTCTGTGGGAATAGAGGATGCGGTGGTATATATGAGTGGAATGTAACTAAAAGTGGGTACAATTCCAACATATAAAAAAACAAAATTTCCAGTCAATATATAAATAAACTTATTAAACTTTAACAACTGAAAATTATCTAAAACCAAAAAAATCTTGCAACAAAGAATAAAAGAAATTAATAATTACAACCCCACTCCCCCCAAAAAAATTAAAATCTTCCTCTCATGCAAAGTTCTTACAAACAAAATCAAGTTGATCAAACAAACCTAAGACATCATCAGGAATATTGGATGAGGAGGAGGCCTGAGTCTGCGAGGGGGAGCCACTACTGGTGGCATTCGAGGAGGTACTGCCCTGCTGGGTGTTCTGACGCCGTGGTGTGGTCAGATTCTGCCGCAGTAAGGTCACCTGGAAAGAAAAATTATCAATGAAATATCTAATTAAATTCCTTAGGAAGCTACATCCTCATTAAAGATAAAAAATAATCTAAAATAGGCAAAAAAAGACAGACAATAAAATGCTTACCTGAAGAACTGGGAGTGGGTTAGGTGGTCCAGGGATAAAGTTCAGCTTGAGATCAATGTGTCCCACCTGAACACCACCTGTGCCACCTGCCCCAGCCGGCAGAAGCAGCTCAAACAGATGCTCATCCCAAGTTGAACTTTTGGGAAAGAAATGTTCTTTAAGTTCTCTCTTCTACAAAGCATGAGTCACTACTTAAACAGGAAAATTAAATTTTTCTACATGTATGTTGAGTCTGTGATAATTCAAAGCACAACTTAAGATATGACTGATTTTCCACATGTTATCTTCCTGCAAAAAATGCCTCTCATTATACCCAGTTAACAGAGTCTTAACCCCATTCCCCACCAGATGTGAAGCTAATCTAAGTGTCTCACCTGTCTGATTCCAGTCGCCAAGTACGGGTTGTGTCCATGTCTTCTGCATGCTGTTGTAGGTGCTGGGGGTTTCGTCTCTGCTTCTGAGCTTGGATGATCTCAGACCAACAAGGAGGTACAGTTGCCACAAATCTGTCATTAGGGAAGGATTTTCCATCTGTGACAAAGTCTTCAATTCATGGAATGATCAACCACTGGTCATTTTTCTTTCAGGATTACAGACTTCACTGAAATTCTCGTAAGACCTTGTGAGCAGAAAATGACACAGATAATAACAACAACCAATGTACTCACCTTGGACACCCTGTCTGGAATTGGATAAGCTCCACACACTTATCCAGGATTTCCTCAGATATTCCCTGATTCACAAGGAGCTCACCAGCTGTAGGCAAACAAGCAACCCCAGAATGAAATTAATGAAAAACTGTTTGAGTTCTGTTTGGCTAAATGTATTTGATGATCCAAATGATCAGATGATGAGAGAAATAAATTCATAGAAATTGCACAAACTTTTACAACTGGTTGACAAGCACGAAGAAACTTACGCATGAGTTCAGGTTCCCGTGTGAGAGCCGGGGTGTTGTTTGAAGGTGCGGAGCTGGCCAGGGCTGAGGCCGAGGAGGTGCTGTCAGTTTCCTTACCCAGCTCCGTCCCTCTCCGAAGTTGTACTAGGTTTACTCTGCCATCATCGCAGCTGACGCAAAGTCTTTCTAAACCTGAAATAGGAATTGACAAATCAGAAATGATTTGAGTTTTGAAACAAAGGACTGATTTTCTTTCCTTTGTGCAAAAATGTTAAGCACTTAGTAATGACAAGGGCCCAAATTCTTCATTTGCTGAAGGAATCCTACCAATAATTAAAATATCTATGCGCATAGTTATTCAATCTTAATTTACACTTTATTATCTCTCCAAAAGAATATACAACTATGTCTTTCAAAATCTATTAGAAAAATATATATACATTATTAATACTAATCTTATCCATTACCTCCACATAAAACAAAGAAAACTATCAACAGAATAGTACTAAAACTTTACTTTACAAAACATATAATGTACAAAAGATCTTCAAGGAAGGAAATAATAAAACAATAAAATAATAATAATAATAATAATAATAATAATAATAATAACAATAATAATAATAAAAAAATCAAACCCTTCCTCTCCACTCACTATTGCAATACACAGCATTGTTGTACGCCTGGCCAGGAGGCGGCGCAAGGTGGTGGAGGAACTCGAGGTTGGAGAGGGACAGCAGTCTGAGGGAGCCATCGACAGTGATGCACGCAGCCATGCCCGACAGGCTGCTTTCGTTGTCGCCGTACTGGGAAAGACACATGACCATTAACCATTAGCCGTCCTCTCTATCTATTGGTCTGTCTGTCTGTCTCTCAAGGAATGAGAGGAAGAGGAAGAGGCAGAAAGGTTAAAAGGAAAAAGTGAAGGTAAATAAATAGTGGAAATAGGAAGGGATTAATTGATGATTATATTCATGATGATGATGATAGCAAAAATAAGGATAAGGATAAGGAAAATAACAACAACAATAATAACAATAATAACAATAACAATGATAATAAAAATAATAATAACAACTATGATGATATCATTAACATTATCAATAACAATAATCATGATGATAATAATAATAATAATAATAATAATAGTAATAATCACAGTAATAATAATAAAAATTCATCATACCCATTATAATGCTAATGATAATCACAATGATAATATATATGAAAATGCTTAAGATAATCATTAACAGCATTATCACAATAATAATAATAATAATAATATAGTAAATATAATAATTATAACATTACTTATAATAATAACAATAATAATAATAATAATAATGATACATTAATAATAATAATAATAATAATAATAATAATAATAATAATAACAACAACTGTCTACTACTAATAACAATAATAATAATGTAATATAATAGTTATAAAATTAACAATAATAATAATAATAATAATAATATTAATAATAATAATCATATTAATAAAAATAAAAAATAATGATGATGATGATGATAATTATGAAAATAATAATAATAATAATAATAATAATAATAATAATAATAATAATAATAATAACAATAACAATAATAATAATAATAATAATAATAATAATCTAAAAAGATATTAAAATAAAAAATAATGGTAATGATAATAATAATAACTATAATAATAAAAATAACAATAGTAGTAGTAGTAGTAATAAAAGTGGTAATAATAACAATAATAATAATAATAATAGTAATAATAATAATAATAATAATAATAATAATGATGATATCAGTTAATCAATATCAAATATAATAACAATAACAACAATAATAATAATCTAAAAATATATAAAAAATAATCAAAACAACAATAATGATAATGATAATAATAATAACTATAACAGTAGTAGTAGTAGGAGTAATAATAATAATAAAAATAATAATAATAATGATAATGATAATGAAAATAATAATGATAATGATGATGATAATGATGATGATAATGATGATGATAAAAATGATAATGATAATGATAATAATATATAACAATAATGACAATGATAATGAAAATGGTAATGGTAATAGTAATAGTAAAAACAAATGTAACAAAATCAATAATAAAATAGTAATGATAATAATAATAATAATATTAATAGTTTTTATTATTATTATCATATCATTACTAATATTATTATCATCATCATCATTATTGTCATCATTATCAAAATCATTATTACCCTCATTATGATCACCATCACCATTATTATAAGACTATTATTATTATCATTATAATAATCATCATTATCATTACTAATATCATTGCTATTGTTAGTTATTATTATCATTATTATTACTATTATAATTATAATGACAATAATGATAATAACAAAAATAATAATATCAATAACATCATGAGCAATTATTATAACAATAATAACAACAATAGCAATAATAATCATAATAACAATAACAAAAACAAGAATAACTGTAACAATAACAATAACAGTAATGGTAATAATGATAATAATGATTATGATGATGATAATAATAATAATAATAATAATAATAATAATAATAATAACAATAATAATAATAATAATAATAATCACTATATTATTTATTATCATACTCATTTTTATTGATTAATAATAATCATCATCATTACTAGAAGTTACAAAGAAATAAATAAAGGAAAAAAAAATAATAAAAAAAATAATAAAAAAATAAATAATAAAAAAAAAAAGGTAAAGGAAAAATTGCAATGTCAAAGAAAGGAAAAATGTCTGATCTTTTAATGATTTTAAAGCAAATTCTGTCATTATGAGGGATTCTGATCATGAATGCTATTGCTTGAGAAAAAAAATCAGCCTTATCAAACTTTTCTGATTCTTAACAAGTTCCTGGAGTTGCTTAGGAACACTTCCTTTATTAGATGAAATGAAATGCTGAAGAACATAGGAGTGAAAAAAATATCCTCATCAGTGTCTCAGTTAGGAAAAGGAGAGAGAGAGAGAGAGAGAGAAAAAAAAAAGGCTAAAGATCTACATTGAGCTAATAACAAAAGCCACCTTTTCCCTTCTCCAGAGAATGAAAGAAAGCCACAAACCTCGGGAGGAAGAACCAACAACTTCTTGGGCACCGTCTCCAACGAGGTCAGGAGCTTGGTGTTGACGGGCTCCTCCTGTAGGGTGACCACATCACCCCCCCGGCAGACCTTGTAGATGATCACAGCCCCAAACACTTCCCGCGGCCCCCCTACCGCCCCGTCATTGCTGTCAGAAGCAGTCATGCTCCCTGAGCTGGCACTGGTGCCTGAGTTGTCACTTCTGCTTAGGGTCACAATGATGTGCTCCCCGCATGTGGTCGGCACAATGTGGTCCACTGTAAGGCGCAACTTTACACTGTTTAACTTATGGGGTAGGGGAATACACTGGATGCATTTGGGTTCCTTTTTCAGGTCATTCTTTGATTCGGGCTCAGATGGTACCTGACTATCTTTGGCTTTTGACTTAGACGTGGAGGTCGAGCTCACTTGGGAGGTGCCCTTGTTTTTCACAAACATATTTGGTGGGGCAAAGAACATTTCAATATCGTTTGCTAAGGGATCTGACCATAGCTGTTTGCTTTTCGAGTACGAGATATTGGACTGCCCAAATGTTCCAACTTTCACAGTTGACTTTTTGTAAGGGCCCTGAATGACAGGTTTCACTGCCACTTTATTACTGGTGGCTGTCTGCGGCACCATGACGTTGAGGTCGTACACTAACAGATACGGCACAAAGTTCTGCTGGCCGGCAGACACAGAGGTAGACACAACTGCAGGATCACTCAAGGAGGCAGACTCAGATTCCACAGCAATACAGTCATTGTCATTTTCCTCTTCCGTTACGGACCCTCTTCGAGAGGAGTCTAACTTCATAATGTCCAAAGTCTCTGCCTTCCTTTGGCTCGCCTGATTCACATTATTCAGCACTTGCACTAGGCCCACGTCACATGTCTCCTGCCTGTCGCCACTGGAGGTGCCAAATAACTCATAGCGTCTAAGGCCCACACCAACCACAAGGCAAGATCTTACAGATGACGACAGATTGAC